TTTTTTTTTTTTTTTTTTTTTTTTTTTTTTTTTTTTTTTTTTTTTTTTTAATGTTCTGTTGCCTAGAGAGGGGAAAAGAGAAAAGGCTGAACAGAGAATAGGCAAAATGTGGATTAAAAATAGTTAATGAAAAAATGTGACCACAAACCCTGATCAGCAGCACAGGGCTAAAACCAGCCACTGAGCACAGCATCTCCATGTGCCTTGCTGTGCCAGGCAAGGACAGGGGCAGGGGAAACAAGACATGGGGGAGATGGGATGACTGCTCAGCTCCATCCCCCTGTGCTCCACCACTGCATCCTGCTTTGTCCTGCATGCCCATGTCCTTGTTTATCTACCCCAGCATTGGGGTCAAGTGCACGTGCCTGTGGTGCCAGTGGGCATGTGTGGCACCCGCAGCCCCCCTGCCTTGCTGGGGCTGCTGCCTGGCTGTACCCGGGGCTGCAGATCTGCCGGTTGGGTAGGCGGATGTGAAGCTCCCAGTGCAGGAGAGTGTGCGCACTAGCCTGTCTGCACTGACCTTTTCCTGGGCTCTTCCGAGCCCTGTGCCTCCCCTGTGACATGCTAACCACATGTGTCACACCATGCCTCTTGTGCCTTCCTTTGTGTTTCACAGGTTTCATGCAACGTGATGAGCAAAACCACCCTTTTCCTTGAGCCAGGGATGAGGTGCTGTGTGGCTCAACATCCCCGTGCCAGAGCCAGCTGGGCAGCAAGGCAATGTGGCTGCTGCCAGGCTGTATCTTGTCCCTTTTTGGTACAGGGCAGTTGTGCAGGTGCCCCCTGGTCATGCCTTGTGGTGACGGAGCAGTAGTGGAGGTGACAAAAACACTGTCAGGGCTGGTTTGGCTTTTCTTGGTCCAAGGTGACACAGAATCCTACATCACCAATGCCTGGTGACATTGGCTCTCTCCATGTGCCACTGCTAGGGCTTCCACAATCATGTAGCTCTGCGCAAACAAGTCACAGCTTTGCAGCACAAGGACTGTTCCGGGCTGCTCAGCTGCTCCTTTGCTGCCAAATTTCCTCGTACTCAGTTCTCAAGGAAAGAACAGAAAAGGGGAGTAGAAAACATCCCCAAGCTTCCGGCACAGACACAGGGCAGGGACGGTGCAGGACAGACCTCCTAGGCCTCCCTGCTGTGGCCATCTCCCCTAGTCTTGCCCCGCCTGCTGTGGTCCTGGGTGGAAAGTGGAGCAGCATCTGCAGGGCCAGGCTGGCACTGGCATTGCATCAGCTCTGGCCCAGCACCGTCCCCTCCCCTGCCAAGTGCCAAAGCCCCTGCCGTGCTGGCATGTAGCTCCAAGCTCCAAGCCAAGCCAGCCGTGGAAAGCACCGCATTAGCGCACGGGGGGCTAATCCCTGTGTCCAGAGGCTGCACAGCCCCCACAGCTGCCTCCAAGCCAATGGGGCTGTGCTGGGTGTGAGGCTGTGCTCACAGGTGGCCAAGCCCCCACCCCACCAGGGAGGCAAGAGTCCTGTGGGACCAGGCTCTGGGGGCTGCACCAGCCTCACTGCACTTGTGCGGGGCTGTGGCTGTGCCAAGGTACTCCCAGGTCACGTTGCAGATGCCCATGAGTGCCCTATGGAGACTTTACCAAGCCACTGATCCACATGATATTGGTTGCAGTGATCCCAGATGTGGAGCTCATTCTCTCACACGTGCAATGGCAGCAAAGCCAGAGGGGCTGGGGTGGCAAAATCCTCAGGGGAAGCTGACCATGGTGGGATGAGGAGTCTCTTCCTAGGCAGGGCTGGGCACTCAGCCACCAGTGGGGGTCCATGCTGGTACAGAGCTGCTGCAGGGTAGCATGGAGGCTGCACATCCATCAGTGGGGAGAAAACTCCAACTTCCAACACCCAAATCCCAAAATCCCAAGTCTTTTCCCATCCATGCCCTCTGTCTTGGTGCAATGCCATAGCAGCAGAACCCAGGTGCTCAATTTGCCCTGCACCCTGCCTGGGCTAGCCCCTGCCTTTTGACCACCCTGGGGCCAGTGGTAGCTGCCATGAGCTGCAGGTCAGCTGGGGGCCATAGGGTCACCAGTCACGGGGAACAGGGGTCCTTGCTTTGCCCCTGTGGCTGAAGGGGTTGCCACTGCTGGCTTGGGAATGGCAAATGCAGATGCTGGCAACAGCCACACTCTGAGGGCAGATGATAGTGCCTGTGTCTGACCACTTTGGCCTCCAGCACTGGGGCTACCAGCAGTGGTGTTGCACATAGCCATCCCAGTGTTGTCTCCTTGTTCCTACTCCCCTGGCACAAGGTCTCTTCCTCATAGCTATGGCTCCAAGTGGAGTCGTGGAGTCGTACTGGGTGTTTTCAGCCTGGGTTCCATGAAGGTCAGCAGCCACAGAACTGTGACACAGGAACATACCCCGCTGTCCAACATCAGCATGGGGCAAAAGTCCCCTGTGCAGTGCTGCCTGTGGCACCCAGGACACAGCTGAGAGGGGCCGCAGCACGTCCAGCTGGCAGAGCCACTACCCAGGGCACTGCAGGTGCTGCTGCTGGGCAGCGCCAGCTCCAGGGAGGTGCTTGTGCTGCCAGTGGTCCCAGCCACCCCAGACCTTGCTGTTCCACCACACAGAGTGGCTGCTCCCTCTCTGCCATTGCCCACTGGCACCAGACCAGGGAGAGCTGGTTCCCGGCTACTTCTGCACGCCCACATCTCTGCTGGAAACAGCCCCGTCTGCGGGGACCCCTTGTCCTGTGGGTAGTGGGGATCTGGCGTGGTGCCATGGCTGTGCAGCGCCACAGGCAGCTGGGGCAAAGGGCCTGGGCAGGGTGAGGGGGAAGACCCACGCCAGGGCTAGGAGCATGACTGGCCCCCGTGCCAGGACCCCTCACCCAGTGCAGTCTGCCCGGATTGGCCATGGTGGGGCCAGGGCCAGGGAGTGGCTGCCAGATGGGGGGAGTCCAGGGCAGAGGCCTCCCTGCTGCTAAATCCCACTGCAGCAACTAAAAATAGCGACACCTCTGCCCCAAAGTTGCTCCCCGGCTGCGCAGAGGGGTTGACAGCAAGTCACTGTGACCCATGGACCTGGAGGAGCATTCCTAATCAGGGCAGGGACTGATGCTTGGCCAGGGACTGGCACTGGCATCTTCCCGTGGGATTGGGACATATGTGGCAGCAGCATGGGACAGGTAGGGATGATGTGCTGGAAGGGGGCACAGGGATGGTGGGATCAGGCTAGCAGGGGAGCAAGGACAGGGATGCTGGCATGGGGGTGTGGGAGGAAAGAGATAGGGATCCTGAGGTGGGATGGGAGAGGGACTAGGACAGGGATATGGTTGGGCAACAGTGTTGCTGGGGTGAGGCTGGGGTGATGACAAAAACAGGAATTCTGGAATGCTGAGGTGGCTAGTGGGCACCCAAGAAAGGTCCCTATTCACAGAGCCCACCCAGTGAGAACTGTCCCAGGAGACAGTTCCCTCTGTCCTGGGACTGGCTAAATAAGGCCATCGCAGGTCCTGCTCCCCGAGCTGCATCTGGAGCCCCACACGCTGATTAATGAGCTGCTCCGGCAGCCACTTGCGACATGGCAAGTGGGTCTGCACGGATGGAGGAAACACGACTTTCCCAGGGATAAAAATAGGCACAGGCAGAGCAGCAAGCCCTGGGAGCAGAACTGGTCGGGGAGAATGACGCTCTGGCTGGTGCCCAGGGGGAGCCCAGGGGCTGGGGGTGATGCTGCAGTGCCTGTGGTGGCACTGGCACTGCTGTCCATCCCATCCCCCCCGGCTGGGCTGCCCTCACCCCAAACAGCCAGGCTGTGCCATGGGGCTGCTGCCATAATGGGCCCTTGTGGGAAGAGCCGAAATCCTGCTCAGGAGCCCCATAACCGGCTTAGGGGGATGGAGGGAATTATGGCACCTCGTGAGCCATGGTCTGTGGAGCACCCGGACACCATGTCAGGCAAGGCCCCACGTCACTGCTGGAGCTGGGGGTGGTGGACCCACAGGGGCACAGACCAGCTGAGCTTGTCCTAGAGCCACAGCAGCCCCACGAGCCAGGATCCTTGTAGGTTAATGGCCAGTGTCCCCATCCCTGCTGGCCCCCTGCTCTCCATGGCTCCCTGGCCACTGCCATCCACAGTGGGTGCTGCTGCCAGACCATGGCTGGGTGATAGTGGCCATGGAGACAGGGAGAGCCCAGGAGCCAGCCTCTCTGCCTGAGAGGATGCTCAGGTGTGAGGAGGGGTCCCTTCTACCATGAGGGTCTTCATTCTCAGGACTTAGCAACAATGCACAGCTGGGTCCCAGCAGCAGTGTGAGGTGGCACCAGCCTGGGTTTTCTGTGGGGGTCTGGAGGCAGCACTGCCACTGCACTCCAGCCACACAGGGGCTGAAACTGCCTTGGCAGGCAGAGAACCTGCATGGTCACTGTCCCAGTGCCTTCCTCGGGAGGATAATACAGACACTTGGTGCAAAAATGAGTGAACAAATAGCTGCATGTGAACACCAAACAGGGTTGGGTGAGGATGGGGACAGGAGTGAGGCACCATGACTGTGGCTGGCTCTGTGCCAGAGTGGCCGCCTCCAGCCCCACCTGCCCTAGCCCCATGTCCCCCAGCTGTGTCCCAGGAGTCCCCGTGACCAGGCGTCTTGCACAGGGCTGCCCACATGCCAGGGGCGTCACCACCAGGGTGGAGAAGCTGCTGAGGGCCAGTAGGAAGCCGTGTGCCCTGCGCTGTGTCCCATGCATGTGGTCCAGAGGAGGGATGTCCCAGCCACGTCTCCTCACCTTCCTGGTGCTGCTGCTCTGCTGCCAGGTAAGGATGAGCTGCCACACATGAGGGTGCTCTGCCCCATGCTCAGCCCACTACCCATGCAGGACTACCACCGATCCACCCCATCCCACTGCATCCCCTCACTGTGGCCTGTTGTACAGCATCCGATGTCCCTTTGGGTCTCCTCTGCCAACCACAAGGCATGGCATGGATGGCACAGAATGGCATGGCATGGCATGTTTGCCTGCACTCGCCTGTGGCTATTCCCAAGCTGGGGTCACTGCCTGGCACAGCACAGTGGCCCCTGCAAGCAGGACACATGTGACAGGTGATGATCCCTGGTGCCTGCAGGGTCCCTGTGCCCAGATCACGGATAATGTTGTTGAGAGGTGGAAGGAGTACAGCGAGGAGTGCAAGCGCAACATGAGCCGCCTGCCTGCACCCACAGGTCAGTGCCCATGGGGGTCCCCTGGGGTTTGGTGGCATGGGGTGGGGACAGGGTCCTGTTGAGATGGGGATGGGGCAGAGGAGCCAACACAGGGTCCCAGAAGGATGGGGAACAGAGCAGAGGGGGTAGTGGAGGTCCTGGCACCCAGATAGACAGTGAGGCCAAAACGCCTCTAGCTCCTGTCCTTCTGCAGAGCTGGTCTGTAACCGCACCTTCGACAAGTTCTCATGCTGGCCCGATACGATGCCCAACAGCACAGCCAGTGTGCCCTGCCCTTGGTTCCTGCCCTGGTACCAGAAAGGTAAGAGCGGGGAGGTGCATGTGCATGTGCAGCTGTGCAGTGTGTGCACCTGTGCAGCATGTTCAAACATGTGTGCAGCTGTGCTGGGGACACCTGTGTGCTGTGTGCGTGTGCTGCTGCAGGTGGCCACACCTGGACCAGTGCATGCTGCCCACAAGGGCACTGGGGCTGGCACCTCACCATCCCCTCCCCTCACAGTGAAGCACAAACACGTCTTCAAGACCTGTGGGCCAGATGGACAGTGGGTGACAGGGCCACGGGGCCAGTCCCTGCGTGATGCCACACAGTGTGAGCAGGATGACGAGGACCTAAAGGCGCAGGTGGGCAGACCTGGGCAGCAGGGCTGTGGGGGTCCCTGCCTGCCCTCGGTCTGCCCCTGCCTTCATTTGCTCCTTCCTCTTCCAGGAAAAATTTGCCAAGACCTATGGCAGCTTCAAGGTGATGTACACTGTGGGCTACTCTGTGTCCCTGTGTGCACTGTTGCTTGCCCTGGCCCTGCTGCTGGGCTTCAGGTGGGAGTTTGGGCATGGCTGTCCACAGGGTGGGCAGGTGGAGGCCAGGGGTCAATGCACAGGCATTGACAATGACATCCAAATCCACAGCAAGCTGCACTGCATGAGGAACTACATCCACATGAACCTCTTTGCCTCCTTCATCCTGAAGGGCGTCTCTGTGCTGGTCATCGACGCCCTGCTCAAGACCCACTACAGTGACAAGATCGACGGCTACAACGTGCAAGTCTGGCTGAGTGACGAGGTCAGTGTGGCACTGGCAGGGACAGGCAGTGCTGGTGGGGCTGGGGGCTGGCTGCTCTCAGGGCACTTCTGGGGCTGGGGGCACAGGCACACACACATAAGCAGTGCTGCAGCCCTGACCCCTGCCCACAGGCAGCCGCAGGCTGTCGGGCAGCCACAGTCTTCATGCAGTACGGCATCGTGGCCAACTACTGCTGGCTACTGGTGGAAGGCATCTACCTGCATAACCTGCTGGTGGTGGCCGTCTTTTCTGAGAGGAGCTACTTCACCCTCTACCTGTGCATCGGCTGGGGTGAGTGTGGGTGGGTTGGGTCCCCTGACCCTGTGCCCTGCTGTGCCTCACCTGTCCTCTGCTCACTTCCCCTCAGGGGCACCCATGTTGTTCCTCATTCCCTGGGTCATTGTGAAGTTCCTCTATGAAAACATACAGTGAGTACCAGCTCCAGCTGCTGGCTGGAGGGGGGCACAGGGGGCACAGGGCACAGGTAGGTGCATGTGGGACTGTAGGGACATTGTGATGGCCCTAGAGTCACTCCACACCATTGCCCATGGCAAGGAGCAGGACTCTGGGCTTTAGTGCTTGCTTGATTCAGGCTGCCAATATCATGCCAGTTCGAGAAGCTTCCTGGCAGTCCCCATCCCTCCATTCTGCAGGTGCTGGTCCACAAACAACAACATGGGCTTCTGGTGGATCCTCCGCTTCCCCGTGTTCCTGGCCATCCTGGTGAGCCCACTGCAGGCCCCTTGCTCGACATCTCTCTCACAGGCCCCAAGACAGCTGTAGGAGTGGCTGCTGAGGGCAGGGGAGCAGAGGTGTCCTGTCTGCCCCTGCCTCTGGCTCTGCATGTGCCCCTGATGGCTCACTCCATTCCATTGCAGATCAACTTCTTCATTTTCATCCGCATCATTCAGATCCTTGTTTCCAAGCTTCGTGCACACCAGATGCGCTACACTGACTACAAGTTCAGGTGGGTGCTGGGCATGGCTCACCCTATGTTCCCAGGGTGCACACACCTGCGTGTCCAGCCAGTAACCCCCATCCCACAGGCTGGCCAAGTCCACCCTGACGCTCATCCCGCTGCTGGGCATCCATGAGGTGGTCTTCGCCTTCATCACAGATGAGCACGCCCAGGGCACACTGCGCTATGTCAAGCTCTTCTTCGACCTCTTCCTGAGCTCCTTCCAGGTGAGCCCAGCCCTCCATGGGGAGACTCAGTCTTAGGAGGGACTAGACTGAGGTCTGGTTATGCACTTCATGCCTCTCCTCCCTCTTCCCAGGGTTTGCTGGTGGCCATTCTCTACTGCTTCGTCAACAAGGAGGTGAGCAGGACAGCAGGGGAATGGGCAGCAGGGGCACGGGGTCACACTGACAGCTGCTGCCCGCAGGTGCAGGCAGAGCTGCTGAAGCGATGGCACCGCTGGAAGCTGGGGAAGGACCTGGCTGAGGAATACAAGCACACCTACAGCCATGCACCCAGTGCCCGCAATGGCGCCGGCAGCACCTGTGAGAAGCACCAGCTGGTGAGTGGCTGCACAAATGGGCTGGGGCGCAGCCTGGCCCCCCAGCCCAGCTCCCAGCGCCTGGAGAGGAGTGGGCACAGCACTGCTGAGCACCTCGCCCTGGCGGGCCATCACCACTGCTATGAGTTTCCTGAGACCACGGCCGAGAGCCACTTCTGAGCCCGCAGCCAGGTGGGAGGGCTGTGCTGAGCCTCTGGGATGCCACCATTGCCTGCCCCATCCTCCCCAGGTGCTGGTGGGCCCTGGAACCTGTTGCCCTGGTGAGGGTGCTGCCTGGGCACATGGACAATGGACACAGTGAGGCAGGCAAATGGGACCTGGACCTCTGGAAGGGGAAACTGTGGGGCCAAGGGGACCTGTAGGGGTGGGAGTTTGTCCTGTGGTGCTTCGCTTGTGCACCTTCGAGTCCCTGTGCACAGTGCTGTAATTTATCTGTCATATCTGTAAATAGATGTGGGCCCGTGCTGGGCTGCAGGGCCAGCTCTGTGTGTGCCTTGCTGTGGGCTGTGGGGACTGGGGACACTGGACATGTGTGGACTATGCTCCCAAGCACCCCACGGATGCTCCCAAGCCACAGCCATGGATGGGGAGCCGAGTCACCTGGCAGGGATGGGCTGCTCCAGAAGACAGCCCCGCTGCCTGCCCCACTGTCTGCCCCCAGCCCAGCAGCCCTGCTGCCCTGCTGCATGCTCCAGGGTGCTGCACAAGTGAGGGCGGCAGACATGCAGCAGCAGCCGCTGCAGCGCTGCCAGCCGGGGCTCCAGCTCCCGCAGCACGCGCTTTCCTTTGGCCGCTAATCAGCTCTGCCCTTTCGCTGCCAGGAGCCCTTAATTAAATCATTTGGCTCTGCCCGCGGCACCCCCGCTCTCCCGGTGGCTGGCCCAGGCCGTGGCCGGCTAACTCCGAGAGCAGCAGTGGGGTGTGGGGCTGCGATACCCTGTGCCGACAGGCCGGGCTGGCCGCGGCGGGCTCACAGCGGTGGCCTAAGAAGCTTGTGCTGCGCACATGAGCGCTAAACCCGGATGCCGCAGCTTTGGGCACCACAATCGCCTGGTGTGTGGGGATTATTCCGGTGCTGCTCCCTGGCTGGGGGGCTCACCCTGACCGAGGGGTGGCGGCGGGACGGGCAGCCGCCCTGCCGTGACCCCCACCGCCCCCACGGACCTGGCCATGGGCACTGCTCATCACCCATCACTCCGCCCCACCTGGCCCCGAGCGGGTGACGGTCCCGGTTGTCCAAGTCCCGTACGCAGCCCGGCACAGGGGACGCGCTGAGCAGGGCCCCGGCAGTCCCACGCAGTACCCCTGGGCAGGCGGCCGCCCCCTCGGTAAATCCCCGCCGGTGGCAGCACCGCCCGCCCCGCACGGCCACGGCGCCGGCACCCCCGGCAGCCGTCGGGAGCCGCGCTGTCTGCGGGGTCCCCGACCGCAGCGAGGCATCGGCGGGGCTGGCATGGCACGGCCAAAGAAGCGATGGCCCAGGCCACGCACAGCTTGGCTCCGGCAGCAGAGCCCAGCCCGGCACACAGTTATTTTCCTCTATTTACTCGGCAACTTGCTGTCTGCCCTGGCCGAGCAGGACCCGGCGCCACAGAGCCAGAGCAGCGCTAGCAGTGGGGACGGAGCAGCAGAGACAGGGAACAGAGGGTCTGGGCCGCGGGGCTCGGGACTGTGGGGCAGTGGCAGCAGCACCGTGGGGCTGTGAGGACACAGGGACTGTGGCAGAATGGGCGAGGGGAGGGGAGCACAGTGCTGGGGGGCCTGCCCAGGCCCCCAGGTGTAGGGATGGGGACAGGAATAGAGAGGAACAGGGATTACCCTGCTAAGCCATGGTGCTTGTGCGGCCCAGGCAGCCTCCGCGGAGCCAACGGCCCTACAGCTGCTGCCGTCACTGCGGCCTTCCTGACAAGGTAATTTTGCCTAATTGAGGCAAATTGCTGGAGCACCAAGCAGTTTCTGGGAAGGTAAATATGGTCAGGCTGTACCCTGTGCCTGTTGCTCCAGCGTTGCTGTAGCAACATCCCACTGTGGACCCCCAACCCCTCTGGGGCCAGGCTGGCCCCCAGACCTTGCCAAGCAAGGGTGGCCCTATATGTGCCACACAATGATGGGGACCCTTCAGGGACCTCAAGCCAGATGCAGCTCATGGGTGTGCTGTGGAAATGTCCTGTGTCCCCTGGTGCTGAGGGGCAGCTCGCAGCATTGCCCCATGTCCCAAAAAGCCCCAACAACCCCAAGGAGGGATGGTGTCTGCCAGTGCCCAGGAGCCCCATGCAAGCACATGATGTCTGCCTGCACCAGGGCACGTCCCACAGTCCCACAGTACCCGTGCCAGCCAGGTGTGTCCCAGAGCTGGGACCTGTCTTGCTGCAGGACTGAATCTGCAGCCCTGTGCCCTGGTCACCTCCAACTCCCACCGAGCCACATGCTCTGGCCAGCAGCTTCCCAATAACCACGGTAACTACAGCCCCCCCAGGTCGGCTGGGTCAGGAGGCAACACCACTCCTGGGACCTCCCTGGAAGTGGGACTGGCCCCGGCCCAAGGACACACCTCCAGTGGGACTGCAGCACCATCCTTTCCCATCACTGCAGAGCTGCTGGAACGACACCCCTGCATGCCTCGGCCTGGCACTGCCAGCAGTGCTGTCACCCCTGCCCATCCTGCCAGCACGCAGGGGCATCCCCACCCCGAGGAACACCTCAGGCAGCACAGCCTGCACACATGTGTGCACACCTGCACCACACACACACAGGTACACCACACCCACCCCCACACCACACACACGTACACACACACGTACATACATGTGTGCACACACATACATGTACAAACATGCATGCACACACATGTACACATACACGTGTGCACACACCTACTTGCATGTACACACATGTACACATGTGTGCACATACATGTACTCATACACAGGTGCACACATACATAAATGTACACACACGTACACACATGTGCACACACTCACGTGTGCACACACACAGGCAGGCACTGCTCTCGGCTGCCCGATGGGAGCTACTTGTTCTTGGTATCCAGAGGGATGAAGGCGCTGACAGCAGCCTGGCCAGACCTGCAGGATGGTTTGGGTGGGAAGGGACCTTTAAATGTCCCCTGGCCCAGCCCCAACAGCAAGCAGGGACACTTGCACCAGACCAGGTTGCTCAGACCCTATTCAGCCTGGCACAGAGTCTTTCCAGGGATGGAAACTGCCTTTCCTGGCAGCCCATGCGAGTACCTCACTGCCCTAAGCAGAAAGATTCTGCGGACACCACAGCACAGCCATGGCACCAGTTCCTCCCTGGCTGTGGAGTTCATTCCAAGGCATGGAGTGGGGCTGAGGCAGTTCCTCACCCCCAAACAGGTGGCCTGGGTTGTGTCCCCAGCCAGTGTCAGGACGGTGGGCAATGCCCCCACCTCAGCACAGCCAGGCACTTCTAGGTGCGGCGCCTCGCAGGAAAATTCCCACTTTATCAAGGGAATTGAGCACCACAAATTGGTCTCCTAAGTCGATTCTGCCTGCTGCCAGGCCTCTTCCCCACCACCTAATTTGATGACAAACACGTTCCTCTCCTCCTCTCACCCTTTAATCTAATGAAGAGCACTGTGTCCAAGGCACAGGGAAATAAACCCTGATGAGGTCGATTTTTATAGGTAAACAGCCTGATTTCTCTGGCCTGTGGCCTCACTCCTCACACCCCTACCACCCACCACCTCCCCCTACCACCTCACCATCCTTGCCCTGCAATTTGGCATCAGTCTTTATAAAAATCACCCGCTTATAGAATGTTTCTTGTACATTTCATTAGAGCTTGAGCAGCTGCTTTGCCTCTGGCTTTACTGTGCCCGAGCAGAGAGGAAAACAAGGCTGAGGCTGGTGGGGCTGCAGTGGGGCCCCCCATGCCCAAGGACATGTGGGGGTCCTGCACACCTGGGATGGCCTCAGATGGGTGCCCAGACAGGGGAGCAGTGCTGGGCTCCATGGCAGCTGAACAGCAGCCTGTCTGGACACAGGACATGGCTCTGGACATGCTAAGGGCTTCGAGCCAGGGCAGCCGCAGCCTGTCAGGCTCCAGGAACACAGTACAGGACCCATCCCGCCAAAGAAGTCAAAGGAGAGGGGCTGTGACAGTAACAATCATCACTCCCTGTCCCCCACTGCCCACAGCTTCCTGTCCCCTACTGCCTGCAGCTACAGGGATGCAGGGCCTGGGGTGGCTCGGGAGGCAATAGGGACTGAGTTCCCATCTTGCTGTGCCAGAACCAACAGCACCAACAGCAATGTTTTGGCAATGGGAGGTAAACAGGGTCATGGTAAGTGTCATGATGCACTCAAGCAGAAATTCAAGCAATGCTAAGTATAGCCTAAATGCCATTAAAGCAGGAGAGGGAAGAGGATACAAGGGTATTAATAGTCTCAACATTTAAATCCTGGGTGCAGTGACAGCTCCTGGGATGCTGGCTGCCCGGAGCGCTGCCCAACCAAGGGCACTGAGCCACTGACACGCGGCACCTGCCCGCAGGGAAATCAACAGCCCCAGCAAGTGCAAGGCCAGGGCCCTTTTGCGAAAAACAAACACAGCCCCTGCTCTCTGCCCCTTGTCCACACCTCAGAACTGGGCCAGGCTGCAGCACCACACCAAGGCAGCCCCAAAAGGACACCAGCGTTTATTTACAACACTCCTCAAGTGACATACCACAGTAAGGAAAGGGTACAGTACAACTCAAGGACTCAGCAAAGGAAAGGAATTGGCAGCCCCAAGTCCCCGTAGCCTTCCCCACAGCCACTGGTACTGGGCAGGCCTGGCAGCCCCATCCCCGCCAGCTCGGAGCACAGGCAGGCAGGGGGCTGCCACACTTCCCCATGGAGCAGCCCAGCAGTTCGGGTGGGCTAAGTTGACACAGTCACTCTCTCTGGCCCAGGCAAGGATGCAGGAGCTATCCACGCAGTGCCAGGAGCAAGTGGCTTAAGGAAGCACCCCTGGCGTGGTTCCACCACCTGCAGCCACCCAGGGCAAGCTGAGGGGCCAGGTAGGTCTCTTCCAGGGGTTGCCTATCTGGAAAATGGTGTTAGTACAAAACTGCAGCGTTGCCAGAGCAAGGAGCTCCCGAGCCTTGCTCTGTGCAGCCCCATGGCTGCTCCCATGGCCACTGTCTCCTATGGGGCTGCAGGTGGCCCAGGTCCCTCTGAGCACCCCTCAGAAGCCTGATGCAGGTGATGACACTCCACCTCTCCATCTGTAGGGAAAGGAACACCTTTCCCTCCAGCACCACAGGGACCAGGTCTGATCTAAGCAGGTAGAAAATGTGGCCTCAGATGTAGCCCACGTGCTCTGGCAGCAAGCAGCCCAGGCAGCACTTGCTGCCACAGTGGAATTGGGAGGAGTCTGACTATGGTCTCCCAGCCCTCAGCTGCACAGTGGGGCTGGACAGGAGTTGCCCCTGTGTCTGGAGGCACAGGAATAGACTCAGCTGTGCCACCTGCCCTCGGCCAGCCCCAGCAGCGGTGGAGCTCCAATGCACAAGGGAAAGCACGACCCCATGCTGCCTGATCCAACAGCGCATCTGCCTTGGCCCTGCCCAGCCTAGCACAGAGGGCAGCGACAGGAGGGGAACAGGGGATCGGGTTGCTCAGCATGAAGTAGGGAAGAGCAGTTTGAGGTGAGAAAAAGCTATGAGTGGGGGGCTGGAATCCTTTGCAACAGGCTCTGGGCAGTCTCGGTGAGGCCCTAAGCATCCTCGACCTCAGGCAGCTTCAGAGCCAGCCCCAGAGCTGACTGGCTCTACCATGGACTTTTAGAAGGACAGACCAGAGGAGGAAATCAACACAAAATCTCGAATTAAATCTGTTTGAGGAGCTCAGGTGAGCAGCCGACCCGCAGGGAGGACCCGCTTTAGGACTTCTTAGCATCCTGTGTGCTCCTCCTCTTCAGATCACCCAGGTCGACGGGTTTAAACGCTGCAAGGGAGACAGGAGAGACTTTGGGGGCAGAGGCAGCACAGCCTTCGCCCGGCGCGCGCAACCCCCGGGCCGACACACCGGCGCGGTGCCCCCGTCCCGCGCACCTTTCAGGCTGGGGTTCGGCATCTTCTCCACGTATTCCTCAACCAGGCCGCGCTCGGAGCCCATCTGGCTGCGCAGGTCGCGCTCCACGCACTGCCAGGCTGCGGGGACAGGGACAGCGCCAGGGGCCGCTCGCCTCGGCCGCCCCGAGCCTCCCGCGTCCCCACCCAGCGGCCGCCGCCCCGCTCACCCTCGTAGATAAAGCGCACGTTCTCCTCGTGGGCCGGCGTGAAGATCTCGCTGCCGGCGCCGGGGGAGCGCGGGCCGCCGCTCCGCTTTCCGTTGTACACCACCCGGGACACGGGGGAGCTGCAAGCGGAGCGCGGGGGGAAACTGAGCCGGGCCCGGGGCCGCGCTGGGCCCGGGGCCGGGCGGGGCTCACCTGGCCATGTTGTCAGCGGCGCTCGGCGGGGCCGGAAGGGGCTCGGCGGGGCCGCGGGAGGAAGGCGAGGCGCAGGGCCGGGCCAGGCCGCGCGGCGCCCCCCGCCCGTCGCCGGGCAACGCGCGCCCCTCACCTGGGCCCTCCCGCCTGCGCCACCCGCACAGACGGAAGCGCCGCAGCGCGCAGGCGCAGCCCCGCCCCCTACCGGCGGCGGCCACACCCCCGCGCCAGCCCTGCGCGCGGCGCTGGCCACGCCTCCGCCCGCCAGGCCCCGCCCCCGGCCGGCCCGGCCCCGGCCCGGCGGCACCGGAGACGGCGGCGGAGACGGCGCCGGAGGCAGTGACCGAGATGCTTTATTGGAAAAGTACAAAGTGGTTCCCGATTCGCAGTACCGAGCGCTGCTGCCTGGCCGCCGCCCGGGCCCAGCCCAGGCGCAGCCCCGGCCCTCGGCAGGCGGAGCCGCCTGGCCGGCCCCGAGGCGCTCGGGGCCGCTTTTCGCCAATGCCCGGCTCAGCGCAGCGCGGTGGCTCCGAAGAGCTGCACCAGGTCCTCGTACTGCGGGTCGATGAGGTCCGACGGTTTCTCCCCGTCGTCGGTGGTGGCCTCCAGGCTGGCCCCGAGGGACAGGAGGTACCTGCAGGACGCGGAGCTGAGCCGGCGGGCCGGGCAGCCCCGGGGGCAGCGGCGGCACCGGGCAGCCCCCGAAGGAGCCGCACGGCCGCCGCTGCAGCGCGCCGCGCGGCCCCACAGCCCTTACCTGGCTATGTCGGCGTAGCCGTCGCTGCACGCCATGTGCAGGGGCGTCCAGCCGTTCTCATCTCTCTGGTGGATGTCAGCGCCGTATTTCACCAGGAGCTTGACACAGTCCAGGTTTCCCGTCAGCACGGCTTCATGGAGGGCTGCCATGCCTGAAGGGAGAGAAGTGTTAGCCCTGGCCAGGGCAAGAGCTCTCCGTGCTGAATTCACGAGTTGTGCACAGCTCAGGAAAGGGGTGCAGGAACTGTCCTCAGGGAGAGGATTGTGGGGAAAGAAACAAAGACTGAGAAAGCCAGAGGAGCTGCTGTGGGTTCCTATTGCCATTCTGCAGCATAAATACCCTGTCTGGGATGGTGCAGCACCCATTGCCCCAGCTAGACAGGACAGAGAGAGGGAAGTGGAACTGCCCCTTAGAGTCCTGGACAGGACTGACATGCAGACATGAGAAGGGTCTCTCGCATCGTGCTCTGCCTGAGTTTCAGAAGCTCATCACTAACAAAGAATCAGTATGGACAGAAAGAAGCTCAGAGTCATTTGAGCCTCTGTCTCCATGGCCTTGTGAGAGCAGAAGCTGAAGCCAAGCACAAGAAAAGGACAAATCTGGGCTCTGCATCAGCCTGCAGAGATCACGGCATTCCATTCCATTGCTGGTGAGGCTGTACACACAGAACACAAAGCTTTCCCTGAGTCCCCAGAGGCAGACATACTAAAGGGAGCAGTGGCTGTGAGAAACAGGCAGAACCAGGAGCAAATGCAGATCCCCCAGTCAGGGGAAAAGGCAGGAGCTGCAGGGTCCTGCCCGCAGCTCACAGCCTGTGCTTGCTGCTGCCCTTTGAGGTCCCAACACATTGTAGGTGCTCAGTGGTGCCTTAAAGGGACCCAGAGGCCAAGCTTCCTCTTTCCACAGCATGTGCTGGCTGTGCTGTTGAGGGCAGATTTTGGGGCCTCGGCCTGGGGCTCTTGCGCCCTGCTGGGCACTGCTCTTGCTAGTGAGGGGCCTGGCTTGCTGCAGTCCTGCTGAAGGTGGCCCACAGCCCAGCTCGAGTGTCCCTCACAGCCCCACCAAGCTGTGCCGCTGCTCTCCCCAGCTCTGCCCACCAGCAGCACTCACCAGAAGGGTAGATGGTGTCCAGTGTCACCTTCCTGGCTCGTATGAACCTGCCCACCTGCTCCAGGTCCCCCTTCTTGATGTGGTCCTGAAAGACGACGTCGTTGGGGAAGTGCACGGTGCGCGAGGCCCTGAGCCGTGGCGTGTACCGGCGGTACCGTGGCCCCAAGGGGCAATAGTCCCTCATGCTGACCGCAGCCTCCAGGCACAGCGGCGTGGGCACTGCTCGGCACGCGGCCCAGCCCCTCACTGGGCTGCCTCCTCTTCTGCCCGTCAGGGGCCCTCCTCACTACGGATGTGTGCTGGCCCCGCAGCGCTGCGCTCCTGCTGTGCCCCCGCCCGTGTCCGTGTCCCCTTGCCACAGGGAAGTGGCAGCCACCGTGCTCTCCTGTACTCCCTGAGTCACATGCAGGAGGTGGCGCCTGGCACTTGCAGCTCACCTACAGGCCCTTGGCCCAGGACTGTTGATTCTCTGGGAGCACCACGTTATAAAGACTCCCTGGGCTATTTTGGGGACATGCAGCTCATGCTATTTGCCATGATGCTTCGTAATCGAACCGCCCAGGCCTGCAGCCTCCCACTTTTGGGCAGAAGTTGATGTCTCATCTTACCACCCACCTGTTGATGTGCCCCATCCAAGGGGTCAAATCTACTCTTGCATGGGTAGCCCTACAGGGGAGCCTGGAAGCAATTTCCCATCAACTCAAATCCTTCTGGGGGAAGGGGCATGGGCACAACCAGCAACACGGGGAACTGGCCGCTCGTGTCCCAGTTGGCTAGTGCACTGTGGGTGTGCCAGGGCCATGGGCACAAACACATCCAGAGCTGTCACCCTCCTGTTGCTGCAGGGGACAACCTAAAAGGAGCCGGAGGAGTTCCTTGCCCAGCACAGCTGTGACAGCACAGCCCAGCAAGGAAGCACAACTTGAGTGCCAGATGTCCCCTGTGCCCTTGTGAGGACAGAGGTGCTGCTGGTGATCCCAAGACAGGCACAGAACTAGAAGCCGGCACTGCTGGTCCCTGGTGTTCCTTGTCCTCCTCGAGATAGGGAAGCAGCTGCTGCTGAGGGCAGGCTACTGCAAGCAGACTTAGAGGAACAGCAGAACAGCACCACCATCAGACAGCTTCTGCCTCTGATACTCTCCAGCTACACTGTCATGACCCAAAACAGAACCATCTGAGAGAAATCATTCAGGTCCACCATGGGTTTAAGCAACCACTGTTTTCTCCCATCAAAGTTTGGGCATGTCAGACTCTGAAGCATTTTGTGCTCTGTCATGCTGATGGGGATTGTCCAGGTGGGTGTGTCAGAAAAAATCCCTGTGCTGCTTTAAGTCAGGGGTTTCACTCTGCCCCTCCTGCTGCAGCCCCTTGCCCTGACCCCAGCAGCACAGTCAACCATGCACCTTACAACTCCTGCACTTGTTTATCTGCTGGCCAATGCATTGATTTCTTGGCCAAGCATCTGCTTGTGCTTAGATGAGCCTGAATATGGTACGGGGCATCCAAGCTCAGTACTAGGGACTTCCAGCCTGCTTTCTTGGAACAGCAATTAGGCATGTACATCAGATGGCTGCTAAGCTCCTGCTCTGCCACAGGGAGCCTTGGGCTAGGAAAGGCATCTCCTCTAAGCTGAGCTCAGTGAGTCTCTGCCCAGGAAGAGGAGAGCCACTGCAGAGCTCAGACTTGGTCACAGTTCAACTGGCTGTGCAAAATACATCTATTCAAATTGAATTCTAGACAGCATCTTTCACTGGAACTTTACTAGTGAGATTCCCCTCCTCCCCACTCCAAAAGACAAAGCAGCTGTCACCAACCAGCCCAGGTTACCAGCACTGCTGGGTTTGTCGAGGTGCAGCAGTAGCCACTGCCTACCTTCAGTCAGGTGGGGGCATGGCCCTGGAGGGAGGCATCTTCAGAGGTCTACCTCCATGTAACTGCAGGTTCTGGTCTCACACACACCTGGCTGCTGCTCTGACAGGCACAGCCCTTCCTGTTCCCATGGTCAGTGGGGACCTGCTCAGCTCCAGCCCTGGGGCTGCTGTGCCCAAAGTTTGGGAGCACCACGGGCTCTGCTGGGGCACAGAAGGCTGGAGTGGGAGACAGACATAAGTGTTGTCCAACACCCGTGCCACTGCTCCAGCACACATCCCACTCCTTGAGACACAGAGGTGCCCCCATTTGTCCTCTAGCCTCAACATGCCCTCCTGTGACATTTATAGCATATTTTATAACCAAAATACCTTCAGCAGCAAGCAGCAGGTTTGGAAATAGCACCGTGGCTCACAGGGTCATGTGAGCCTGACTAGCAGAGCCACAGCAGCCCTGGCGTGCCCTGAGATTCACTGCTCCAGAGCAATGTCCCCTCAGCCCAGCCAGCTGGCCCAGGGGGTGCACAGTCTCAGAGCCAAACCACGGCCCGTTCACTCCTAACAGAGCACCTGCACAAGCCCATGGAATCCAGACAGGACATGAGCATTGGGATGTTATTTTCCTTTACTAATTGGAGAAAGTGACACACACACCATTGCAGCAGAGTCCCTTGAGAATCATCCTACAACTCTGACCCCTCCTTCCAGAGAAGGTTCAAATAAAGAGACAAAATAGTATTAAAATCTCAACTTTATTTGGCCATCAAATTCAGTACCAATGTTATTGTAGCAGAATGCTAAGAACCAGCCTGATACAGCTCAGGCCTGTGAGGCACTCCCTCAGTCACATTCCCAAGCCCCAGTAATTGCAAATGTCCTGTTTGATCTGTTTATCAGACCCTCCCCCACCACCCACCTGCCGGGTTAACCCACTCAAAATAATTCATGAAAGGGATTGCAACTCTTGTCTTTGATCAAAAGGATGTCAACACAGCTGGTGAGCCATCAGCCATCTCCACCCTCAGAGCCTGCCACAGCCAGTGCACACAGTATTCCACCCCTCCAGGAGTTTGGAACAGTCATCTCCAAGTGTCTTAAAGGAGAAGGAAAAGGAAACGTCTGGCTAGCATGAAGAGAAGCACCTCCACATACACCTTTTCCCAGGAAGCCATCAGCCTTCTGCCCCCACATATACTGAAGGCCAGTTCCAGGGAAGGATAGCTGACACCATTAAGGACCCTGCCAGGTGCAGAAATCAATTAGGGGCTTTAGTTTTAAAAGAACAAGAGAAAAAAGCTGTCTGGAAGATGTTAGTGGCAAGGCTCCAGATTGTCAGGCTACTGAACTCCTGGTACCACCTCACAACCTCCTGCTGCCCAGAAGAACAGAGTTCTCCACACAAAAGCTGTGTACAAAAAAGTACATCACAATAGAAAAAAGAGCCCAGCTGGCTGGGCTGGCTCCCTAGTGACAGTTCCCTTTTCAAAAGCCAAAAGAAAGAAAAGGTAAGTGTGTACAGACAAGTGAGGGTAAAGTGTTACTTTAGAAGCCAATCCCTGGATTTCCAGTCATTTACCTTCTGCTTTAAATCTTAATGGGTTTCTGACTCACTGGGCTGCATCACAGCAGCCAATTTAGTGTCTGATTTTTTGGGTGTCGTAGATCAGTCTTTTCTTTACAATTCATCCTTTTGGAGTTTCTGCTCATCCTCATCACCTTCCTCAAGTTCAGTTTCTTCATCCATCTCCAGGTCCTCCAGATCCTGTGGAGGTTACAGACAGCTCCTGGTTTCTAGCACAAGAGGCAGACCCAGAACCAAGCACTGAGGAGCACCCCTCATCTGGTCACTGCTCTCTGCTGACATGCTAGCAAAACATCCAGAGACTTCTAGCAAGAGCTTCAGATTCAGGACATGAAGGATCAGGAAGCCCTGGAAGCTGGTACCTGTACACCTGTACTAGCCTCCACACCCCCTCCCCAGCAGGTGACAGTTTCCAAGCAGATACACAGATCTGTGGCACTGATGACACAGTCCAGTTCCAGGTGCTGAGTGCCTCAGCCGTGCACAGCCACAGCACTGCAACTCCACACCCACAGGGTGCTCTCCAAAAAAGGAGCCCACTGCAAGCAAAGGGCCAGCCAGGCTGCACATGAGCAGATCACACTGATCTGGGCGTTTTCTTCACCAGCAATATGCTCTCCTGGTATGTAACAAAACAGGACCTTATTTAGGACTGAGGATTCAGGCACAGAACCAGACCTGACCCATGCTCTGCTCCCAAAGGCCCGGAGTACTCCATTCATATTACTCACATCATCAGCTGCTGCCCCATCCTGACCTCCACTCTCCAGGAATTTTTTGAAGCCTTCTAGTGTCCTCTCCCCATTATAGTCAATTACCTACACAGGGAAAACATAAGGATGCTGGTTATGGGCACTACAGACCCACACCCCTGGAGAGGAGAATTCTCTTTCTGAGCAACAGTGAACATGCCAAGCAAAAGGGAATTTAAAAATTCACCTTCACCCATATGAGACGAAGGAAAACAGCTCAGCCACTAGACTTCAGAGATCACTGCGAGGAAAGAATAGCCTGCAGATGAGCACACTGTCCTCTATGCTCCCTCTTTTCCCCATTCCCACTTCCCACTGCCCCCCAAACTCTTTCCCTACAGCCCAGACCCCACAAAGGGTCTTGGGTGTCCTGTAGACTTGCTGTGTTTCATCTTGACTGAATGCAGATCCCTCCCACAGGTCTTGTCAAAAACACCTCGAGTGAGCAGCTGAGCATTCCCGTGCTCCCTGGCAGCCCGGCTGCCTGCTTACATTTCTGCCAGAGCCTGCAGGGAAGAACTTGAGTGTGGGGAAGCTGTGGATTTTCACTGCCTCCACTTCATTAGCTGTCGAGTCCATCTTGGCAATGACAATGTTCTCGTGATCCCTGTAGGTTTCTCCCAGCTTGTCCCAGATTGGGGCCAGCTGCTTGCAGTGACCACACCATGGGGCATCTGTTAATTACAGAGACAGGGTCGCACCAACAATCTAATGAGGTACCACTCCTCCCCGGCCAAACGGTTCTCACACAGCTTTGCAACCAAGGCACTGCTTTTGGGGTCCAGACTGCAAAAGACTTTTCCCCAAATCCTGGTCACACAATATTTTGGCAATCCTTTCACACCAGTTACTTGGACTCAGCTGTAGAAAGATACTCACAGAACTCCACAAAGACATTCTTATTCTCATCAAAAGCAACTTCTTCAAAGTTCTTCCCAACCAGAACTTTGACAGGCTGCTTGTCCCAGTCTTCAGGAAGATCCTGACTCATTAGGTGGGGCTGGAATAAAAAGTGAAATTCAGATAAATGGTTTGCTACATAGGTGCTTGAACTGATCATGCAATCACACATCCTGGAAAACCCAGGTTTCACCATCCCACTGGCACCTCAGTCACAGGCTGTAAGCAAACAGATGAATTGGTCACTTCCTCTTCTCCCACAGTCTTCCTTCCCACCCTGACCCAGCAGGAACAGCAGGTGCTGATGTACAGAGAGAATGACAACAGAGCTCTGCAGAGGAAAGCAGCACTGCTGACAGCCCAAATGACTGGGCTTTGCTGCACCCCCACTGCTGGCTGAGCCACACACAGTCCCTCCAGCAGATGGGAGCTGACAACTCTTGTCCCTGTGCCACAGAATTCACACCTTCCACAGACTGCTGTCAGAAAGAGCAACTGGATAAACAGTACAGTCCCCACAGGGACAGCGCAACTGCTTGGCCATGTTCAAGTCCTTCTACCTGGCTCACTCTCCTGCAGCCTCTGGG